TTGTAAGTTTTAAGATTACTCAGATTAGAAATTTAAGAAACTTTTTTTTTTTTTTTGGTATGCAGAGGATTCAATCTGGGACTTTGCACATGATAGGAAATGCTCTTATCACTCAAGATGCACCCCTAGCTCCAAATCAGACCTTATTAGATAGTAGTTTGGTTTTAAGAATTGCTCATAAAATAATCTTTACTATCCCACAAAAAGTTGTGGGATAGTAATATCTAGAGATTTATTCTAGTTGTCACTTTAACCAATTGTATATTTATAGATTTTAAACCTGAAAATTATAGTTGCTGGCTGGGTGCTGATGGCTCACACCTGTAATCCTAGCTACTCAGGAGGCTGAGATCTGAGGGTTGCAGTTCAAAACCAGCCCAGGAAAGGCTGTGAGACTTACTACTTAGAAAAAGCTGGAAGTGGTGTTGTGGCTCAAGTGGTAGTGTGCTAGTCTTGAGCAAAATAAAGCTCAAGGACAGTGTCCAGGCCCTGAGTTCAAACCCCATGACCAACAACAAAAAATTATAATTGCTTCTTTACTGAGATTCTATAAATGATGTGTTTCTTTTGTCTAGATTTGCCTATGATGGGCTGAAACGTCAAAGACTTACTGAGCCAATGGTCAGAAATGAAAGAGGGCTTTTAACCTATACCTCCTGGGAGGATGCACTCTCTCGTGTAGCTGGAATGGTAAAATTTTTAAATATTAAAGAAAAGGAGTGAAGAGAGAGAAAAGGAAAGAAATATAAAATAATTAGTGTGCAACTTTTAAGAAATAGTTTTGCCATAAGTTAATGGAATGGGTCTCTCTGTTTTGTATTATAAAGATTATAATTAATCTTCCATTTGATAGTTATGATTATAATTAATCTTCCATTTGATAGTTATTGAAAGCTGTATATTAGATGTTATGCTGAATATGGGAATATAAAGACCACGAACACAAAATCTTTACCTACCAGAATGCTATTGTTTAGAAAGAAACATACTAAGTAGGTACAATTTGTGGACTGATTTGAGAGAAAGCACATAGGAATAAGAGACCTAATTAAAACAAGAGTACCAAGAAGCCTTCCTATAAGATGTTGTTTGTTTGTTTTAGTAAATCCTGAAAATAAATATGATCTTGTCAGCATAAGAAGAGAATTGGGGGGCGGGGAAGGTGGCTCAGTGGTAGAGTGCTTGCCTTGCATGCATGAGGCTCTGGGTTTGATTCCTCAGCACCACAAAAGCAGGAAAAGCTGAAAGTGGTGCTGTGGTCAAGTGGTAGAGTGTTAGCCTTGAGCTGAAGAGCTGAGGGACAGTGCCCAGGGCCAGAGTTCAGGCCCCATGACCTACAAAAAAAAAAAGAAGAGAATTGGGTCATACCCAGTGGTTTATGTGTGCTTAGCATGAATGAAGCCTTGTGTTTCATTTCAAAGAAGAAAAAAAGCAAAAGGAATAGTTTTCTGGATAGAAAAGTCAAGATAAACACAGAATTAAGGCCTAGAGGGGATAGTACTTCAGAAGTGGTCACATTTCTAGTAACTGACTCCATAATCTTCATTCTCTAGACTTCATTTTTCAGCTCCTTTGTTCCTAACTAGAAGACTTCCCTCTAAGATGATAACTAGCTTTACCTCACACGCACCTCTACTGTTTGCACTTTTAGATTAGATAATAAAACTAAAAGTGTGTTACTTTCTTGGTACATAAGAATGATTATTATTGCTGGGCACCGGTGGCTCACACCTGTAATCCTAGCTACTCAGGAAGCTGAGATCTGAGGATCATGGTTCAAAGCTAGCCCAGGCAGGAAAGTCTATGAGACTCATGTTTTTTTTTTGTCTGTTGTGGGGCTTGAACTCTGAGCCTGGGTGCTGCCTGTCCTCAGCTCTTCAACTCAAAGCTAGTGCTCTACCACTTGAGCCTAGCTCCACTTCCGATTTTCTGAATAGTTTATTGGAGATAAGAGTTTCAGGGACTTTTCCTGCCTGGGCTGGCTTTGAACCGTGATCCCCAGATCTCAGCCTCCTGAGTAGCTAGGATTACAGGCGTGAGCCACGGGCACCTGGCTGTCTGTGAGACACTTATCTCCAATATACCACTAGAAAACCAGAAGTGGCGCTGTGGCTTAAGCGGTAGAGCGCTCGCCTTGAGCTGAAGAGTACAGGGACAGCGCCCAAGCCCAGAGTTCAAGCCCCATGACTGAGCAAAAAATATATATATATATATATTCTTTCTTCTGAGCAACTCATTGCTTACTATATGTTTGTCATTGATTTGCTTATTATCCATTTCTAGTTGCAGAGCTTTCAAGGTAAAGAGGTGGCAGCAATTGCCGGTGGTTTGGTGGATGCTGAAGCCCTGGTAGCTCTGAAAGATATACTGAATAGAGTGGATTCTGACATCTTATGTACTGAAGAGATCTTCCCCACTGCAGGAGCTGGGTGAGAAATAGGAAGCTATGGTCCAGGTTCACATTATTTCTTTCAATTACAGTTATGTGTAAAAGACATTGGTGGTATACAGTGTATTCTCCAAAATAGTCACCAGTGCCATTTTACTTATAGACCAAAATGAAACCAAGAGCTAAAGGAGAATTTAGGAGATTTAGTTAATAATAAGTATTAGAACTTTGTTTTAATTTAGACATGTTTCATGAAATTTTGGGGGAGTGCCAGGTGTTTTCAGCTTTAAAGAAAACTCATATTTTAAATATTGTATTTCTAGTACGGATTTGCGTTCCAATTACCTCCTAAATACAACAATTGCTGGTGTGGAAGAAGCAGATGTAATCCTTCTGGTTGGTACAAATCCACGTTTTGAAGCACCACTATTTAATGCTAGAATTCGAAAGAGGTTAGTAATATATAGAGTTTTTTTTTAAGTATGTGATTTTTTTTGTTTGTTTGATAAATATTTTAGTTGATTCCTAGTATTCATTGTAGTCAGACTAAATAATTACTAAAGGTAATTGAAGGACAGTTTTAAAAAGGTCTGTCTGACTACCTCCCACCATATCATCTCTTTAATAAATTTATTTTTTATTAAATATATAGTAATATATATTTATATACTTTTTTTTTTTTGCTGGTCATGGGGCCTGAACTTGGTCTGAGTGCTGTCCCTCAGCTCTTTATCTCTGGGCTAGCGTTCTACCACTTGAGCCATAGTGACACTTCTAGCTTTTTCTGCTTATGTGGTGCTGAGGAATTGAACCCAGGGCCTCATGCATGTCAGGCAAGCACTCTACCATTGAATATTCTTAATATTGGGGTTTGACCCAGGGCCTTACACTTGCTAATTAAATGTATTACCACTGGAACTATGCCCCATTTTGTTTTCAAAATAGAGTCTCACTATTTTTTCCCAGGCTGGCCTTGAACTAAGTAACTAACCCACTTCCTTCCCTCCCTCCCTCCTTCCCTCCCTTCCTCCCTCCTTTCCTCCTTTCCTTTTCTCCTCCTTTCTCACTCTCTCTAAAAATGCAAGAATTTATTTTGTAATTATAGACTTAGAAACAATTGGCCTTAATTTTTTTGTTTGTTTTGTTTTGTGCCTGGGTTGAATTCAGGGCCTATATGCTGTCCTGAGCTAGTTCTTTCTAATGCATTTGAACCATGATCCTCTGGATCTGGTTCAGCCTCCTGAATGCTCAGGCCTTGCGTTTTGGTAGCTTTGTTTTTGGAGAGTGTCAGTTACTACAGTTTGAACTCAGAGCCTTATACTTGCTGACTGGTCAGGTGCTCTATTGCTGACCCATCTTTCTAGTGTATGCCTGGACCATACTCCTATTTTATGTTTCCCACAGTTGAAGTGACAGGCAGATGCCTCCATACCCAGCTTCTGTTGAAATGGACATTCATGAACTTTTTTCCTCCAGTCTGGCCTGGAACCATGATTCTTTCACTCCCTCCCAAGTAGCTGATAACGATGCGTGCCACTGTTCCCAGCTGTTCGTTGAGGAGTGCTCTTGTGAACTGCTGGCCTCAAACAGCAGACCTCATGATCTAAGACTGCCAAGTAGCCAAGATTACACACTTGAACCTCATGCCCAGCTCTGTTAGCTTTTTACTTTAAAATAACTTAGGATACTTAAAATAGTCTTAAAATTCTCATTTACTTATATTATTTACAAATAATGTTAAATGAAGTTAACAATATGCCATACTTTATGGTATATACTCTTTGTACAGATATAGACGTGAGTATAATTTTCTGAATTATCTGGAAATAACTTACAAACATAATAGCCTTTTATTCTTAAATACTTCAGTGTATGTTGCCTAAAATAAAATCATTCTCTTAAGAAATTTAGTATTAAAAAAAAAAAAAAGAAATTTAGTATTCAGCCAAGAGCCAGTGGCTCATGCCTGTGTTCCTAGCTACTCATGAGACTGAGATCTGAGGAATGAGGTTTGAAGCTAGCCCTTGCAGAAGGTCTGAGAGATTTATACCCAGTAGACCAGCAAAAAAACTGGACTAGAGGTTTTATTCAAGTAGTAGAGTACCAGCCGTGAGTAAGAAAGCTGAGTAAGACCCAGAGTTTAAGTACCAGTACTGGTATAAAACATAAAAAACAAGAGGAGGGTAGTGGGGAAAGGAAAGAAAAATCCCAATATTGATATAAGATCACCTAATCTACAAAAAAGAAAGATTTAATATTGATACAAGTTACGTAGTTCACAATTTATATTCAGCTTTCAAAAAGTTTTCCAGGGCCGGGCGCTGGTGGCTCACGCCTGTAATCCTAGCTACTCAGGAGGCTGAGATCTGAGGATCACGGTTCAAAGCCAGCCCGGGCAGGAAAGACCGTGAGACTCCTATCTCCAATAAACCACCAAAAAAAAAACGGGAAGTGGCGCTGTAGCTCAAAGTGGTAGAGCGCTCGCCTTGAGCTGAAGAGCTGAGGGACAGCTCCCAGGCCCAGAGTTCAAGCCCCACGACCGACAAAAAAAAAAAAAAAAAGTTTTCCAGGGCTGGGATGTAGCTCAGTGGCAAAGTACTTGCCTAGCAAGTGCAATGCCCTGGTTCCATCCCCAGTACCAAAAAAGAAAAGACAAAAAAAAAATACAGTTAAAAAAAAAAAAAACCAACCCTTGGGCTGGGAAGGTGGCTCAGTGGTAGAGCACTTGCCTTGCAAAAAGCTTTCCATAATTTCTGATATAACAATTTAATATTTTCAGCCGGGCGCTGGTGGCTCACGCCTGTAATCCTAGCTACTCAGGAGGCTGAGATCTGAGGATCACGGTTCAAAGCCAGCCCGGGCAGGAGAGACCATGAGACTCCTATCTCCAATAAACCACCAGAAAACCGGAAGTGGTGCTGTAGCTCAAGTGGTAGAGCACTCGCCTTGAGCTGAAGAGCTGAAGGACAGCACCCAGGCCCAGAGTTCAAGCCCCACGACCAACAAAAAAAAAAAAAAATTAATATTTTCTGTTCAGCATCCAAGCATCCATTCTAAAGTTACACTTTGCAAGCAGTGGCATGACTTTTCAGAGCCCCGTTTTGTTTGCAGGCTTTGCTTGTATGCACCTACATGTTTGTCAGTGTCAGTACTGGGCCTTGAACTTGGGGCTGGATTCTATCCCTGAGCCCCTCTCTCCCTATCTCTCTCTTTCTCAATGTTAGTGCTTTATCACTTGAGCCACAGATCTACTCCCAGCAATTTTTTTTTCTTTTTGGTAGTTCATTGGAGGTAAGAGCCTCACAGGCTTTCCTTCCCTGGCTGGCTTCAAACTGTGTTCTTCAGATCTCAGCCTCCATAGTAGCTAGGATTGTAGACATGAGCCACCAGTGCCTGGCCCCAATATTTTTTTTTTTTTGAGACTTACTAAAACCATGTAATTTAATGTCTACATTGGGAAACTAAAAAGAGGTAGCTGTTTATTATTTCCTGCTAACAGATAAAAACTAGTACTGTCAACAAACCACAATATGTGGTCACACTTAAAATTTCATGAAGTAAGTAGATCCATAGTTATTGAGTGCAAATAATATATGCATAAGTTCATTTACATGAACTGTTGCCATTAATAAGTAAAAAGATAATTGCTATGCAAATACTGTGAACTTAAAACTTCAGATTAGTTATTCTGAGTCTTTGTTAGCATTTACAATTAGCATCCCTGTGTACCAAATTAGTGCATTGAATTGCTTTGGCATGTATTTTTGTAACTATTACATAAATTATGTCTGGTAAGGATAATTACTCTGAGTTCTTCTGTACTTAACATTTTGTAATTGTAAATAGACATAGGATCTTACGTTGTTGAGACAAACTTGTATTTTACTTATTTAGCTCTTGAGACAAACTTGTATTTTACTTATTTAGCTCTAAAAACAATGTTTTTATTTCAGCTGGCTTCATAATGATTTAAAAGTGGCCCTCATAGGCAGTCCAGTGGACCTCACTTATACATATGATCACCTGGGAGACTCCCCCCAAATTCTGCAGGACATTGCTTCGGGCAGCCATTCATTCAGCCAGGTGATCTCAAGTTATATGTGTCTACCATTATTGTTCTTTATTTTAAAAATATTGCTATTTTTTAAGTTTACTAGCTTTGTAATAACAGAATGGTTATGATTAGAAGTTTTAACAGTAACGCAAAAGGACATGGAAGAAAGTACAGCATGGGGCTGGGGATATAACTCACTGGTAGATGAACTCTTGCCTCTTCCATGTGATTCTTCAAAGAAATCTCATCCTGTATATTTTTGCCTGTTCGTGGCAGTATTGGTGTTTGAACTCAGAGACTTACTCTGTCTAGGCTGGCTAGCCTTGTTTTTTTGCTGTCTGTATTTGAGTAGGGTATCAAGAATTTTTCTGCTTGGGCTGGACTCAAAATGCTATCCAGCTCTCAACTTCCCGAGTAGGTATGATTATAGATTTGAGCTATTGGCACTTGGTTCTATGTTTTTTTTCTTCTCTGTTCTTTATGTAACTCATTAATCTTTTTTTAAAATTAGGTTTCTAATTTCTTGAGATCTTGTTTCCTGAGAATGTCTATTATATTCCTGTTGAAATAGTTTGTTATAGTCTAAAATAATACTTTGATCATACTTGTCATACTATTTTCCGTTTTCCTTTTGTTTTCTAATTGCCATTGCTTGTTTGAACTTGGGACTTCATGCTTGATTGGATTGCTTGCTTGGTTTTTGCTGTATATTTTGAAGAACCTTGTGGACTTTGCTCTGGTTGACTTCAAACTTGTCTTCTGGATTTCAGCCTCCTGAGTAGCTAAGATTATAGGCATGAGCCACCAGCACCTGGCTGCTCATTTTTTGAAGTGAGAAAGAGTATGCTAGTGTGTGTGTGTGTGTGTGTGTGTGTGTGTGTGTGTGTGTGTGTGTGTGTGTGTGTGTGACAGACAGAGAGTCAGTTCTTGGACTTGAACTCAGCACCTAGATGCTGTCCATGAGCTTTTTTTTGTTCAAGGCTAATACTCTATCATTTTCCACTTTCAGTTTTGGGGTAGCTAATTGGAGATGAGAATTTCATGGACTTCCTAGCTTTGTACTAGCATCCTCAGATCTCAGCCTCCTGAGTAGCTAGGATTACAGAAGTGAGCTACTGGCACCCAGTTTAATTCTCTGATTTCTTTTAGCTGTTGTTTGGGAGACAAAGTCTTGCTAAGTAGCCCAAGCTGACCTTGAACTCACAGTCATCCTGCCTCAGACTTGTCAGTGCTAAAATTACAGGTGTACATCATCATGCCTAGCTATATGCCAGTTCTTTTCATTGTGAGCAGCTATATAGTTAGAGTTTAGTTCACTTGCAATACTTTTTTATTTTTTGGGGGTCCGGTCGTGGGGCCTGAACTCTGGGCCTGGGCGCTGTCCCTCAGCTCTTCAGCTCAAGGCTAGCGCTCTACCACTTCAGCCACAGCGCCACTTCTGGCTTTTTCTGTTTATGTGGTGCTAGGAATCGAACCCAGGGTCTCATATATGCAAGGCAAGCACTCTACCACTGAGCCACCTTTCCCAGTTCTTCATTGTTTTGTACCAGTCCTGGGGCTTTTGCTCAGGGCCTGGGCTTCTTTTGCTCAAGGCTAACATTGTTAATTGGAGATAAACAGTCTTATGGGCTTTTCTGCCTGGGCTGGTTTCAAAGATCCTCAACTCTCAGCCTCCTGAGTAGCTAGGATTACAGGCGTGAGCCACCAGCGCCCGGCTGAAAGCAAATTTTTTTGTTGTTGATCATGGAACTTGAACTGTGGGCCTGGGTGCTGTCTCTCAGCTCTTCAGCTCAAGGCGAGCGCTCTACCACTTGAGCTATAGCGCCACTTCCGGTTTTCTGGTGGTTTATTGGAGATAGGAGTCTCACAGTCTTTCCTGCCCGGGCTGGCTTTGAACCGTGATCCTCAGATCTCAGCCTCCTGAGTAGCTAGGATTACAGGCGTGAGCCACCAGCGCCCGGCTGAAAGCAAATTTTTTTGTTGTTGATCATGGAACTTGAACTGTGGGCCTGGGTGCTGTCTCTCAGCTCTTCAGCTCAAGGCTAGCACTCTACCACTTCAGCCACAGCGCCACTTCTGGCTTTTTCTGTTTATGTGGTGCTAGGAATCGAACCCAGGGTCTCATATATGCAAGGCAAGCACTCTACCACTGAGCCACCTTTCCCAGTTCTTCATTGTTTTGTACCAGTCCTGGGGCTTTTGCTCAGGGCCTGGGCTTCTTTTGCTCAAGGCTAACATTGTTAATTGGAGATAAACAGTCTTATGGGCTTTTCTGCCTGGGCTGGTTTCAAAGATCCTCAACTCTCAGCCTCCTGAGTAGCTAGGGTTACAGGCATGAGCCCTGCTCATTTTGTTATTATTAAGATGTTATTATACAGAGAGGTTACCATTTCATAAATCAGGTAATGAGTATATTTCTTTCTTACGACAGTTTTTCCCTTCCTTTACTATTACCGTTTCCCACTCCATCACTGCCCACAACACATTGAATTTTTTATACTAATAATACTGTTGCATTCTAAAACTCTTTAACTCTTTCCCAGGATTGCGAGCCAGGTAGCTGCTTTAGACCTTGGTTATAAACCTGGGGTAGAAGCAATTCGCAAGCACCCTCCCAAAATGCTGTTTCTGCTGGGAGCAGATGGAGGTTGTATCACACGACAGGACTTACCAAAAGATTGCTTCATTGTTTATCAAGGTAAATAGCACCCATGATCCCCAAAACAGAAGAGAATTTGTGTGTGTGTGTGTGTGTGTACTGTTTTTTTGTTTTTTGTTTTTTTTTTGAAATGGTCTTGTTATGTAGCCCAGGCTAGCCTTGAACTCCCCCTGCCTGCCTCAGCCTCCTAAGCGCTGGGATTCAAAATAGGCACCACCATGCCCACCTTGTGCCACAACATCTGATTCATTGTATATAGTAAACTGTTTAGCACTAGGAGTTGTAGCACATTATGAGGTGAGCCTACATTTGTGTGTGTGCGTGCACGCGCACGCGTGCTTATGGAGTAATCACAAAAACTATTTGGTGGACTGAATTGTTTTGCATTTGAGATTTGTCTCCCCCAACCAATTCTTGAAAACAATCCACTGGTATTATCATAATGTCATAGTTCACATCACTAAGAATAATTACCTTCTGTTACTTAAGAATTAAGAATTAGGGCTGGGAAGGTGGCTCAGTAGTAGAGTGCTTGCCTGGCATGCATGAGGCTCTGGGTTCGATTCCTCAGCACCACATAAACAGAAAAAGCCAGAAGTGGCGCTGTGGCTGAAGTGGTAGAGCGCTAGCCTTGAGCTGAAATAAATGCTCAGGGACATTGCCCAGGCCCAGTGTTCAAGCCCCACAACTGACCAAAAACGAAAAAACAAAAACTAAGAATTCGAAAATTAGAAGCAATCCTAATGTTCATAGGATTAGTTAAATTATGTCTTATAAAGTACACACATAATCCTGAGGATTGTAAATTCAAGGCTAACATGGACTACATAGTAAAACACCCTGTGTCAAATAAAGAATATTTACATTGTTACTAAGAGAAATCACTTTTATACAAGCAGTGTGAAATTATTTAAGTCCTTCATTAAGAGGACATTTAGTGAATTAACCTTTCGTTGTTGTGTGGAGATCAAACCCAGGGCCTGGGCATATTAGGCAACTTTTCTACCACTGAGCTACATTCCCAGTCTTTTTTTTGGGACAAAGTCTGTATGTAGCTCAGGCTGGCTTAAACTTACTTTGTAGTCCAAGCAGGATTTCAAATGTCCATCCTTTTGCTTTCACCTCTCCATTGCTGGGATGTAACCATGTATAGTTACTTTAGTGAATTACATTTAATATAGAAATGTGTGGATTGGGTAGGGCACTGGTACCTCATGTCTAGCTACTCAGGAGACTGAGATCAGAGAATTGTGGTTTGAAGCTAGCTCAGGCAGGAAAGGCTGAGAATCTTATCTCCAGTTAACTAGCAAAAAGCTGGAAATGGAACTGTGGCTCAGGTAGTAGAGCACCAACCTTGAGCAAAAAAGCTAAGGGACAGTCCTGAGTTCAGGCCTTGGTACCAGCACAAAAAAACAAATCTGTGGTTTTTGAGATTTGGTCCATTTTTTTGAGTTCTACTTATTGTAAATGTAATTAAGTTCTCCTGGAATAGATGAATTATTGTGTAGCCTGCCTAAATATTACACAGATAACAGTGTTGCATAAACTTCTACAGTAATTATACATAATTTATAATAGGCTTTCATTGGCATGAAATGTCTTATAGAATATTTTAAAGCTTTAGTTTGATGTAGTTACACCAAAATGGATACACTAAAACCCTGTTCTTGCTGGGTGCCAGTGGCTCATGCTTGTAATCCTAGCTATTTACAAAGTTACATGGTTACAAGGTTCAGAGCTGGCCCTGGCCGGGTCAGACAAATCCAAGAGACTCTGAGCAAAATGCTGGAAGTGGAGGTGTGGCTCAAGTAGTAGGTCATCAGCTTCAAGTGGAAAAAAATAAGAATGTAAGACCCTGTTCAGGCCTGAATACTGGCACAAAGGACAACAATTCCAATAAAATGATAATACTCAGTAGTATCTCAAATCCTAGTGGCACCAAAGGAAAAATAAAATTAGAGTAACAAGACTTATCTATATTGTGCAACCTTTTTTTGTTTCATCATGGTGCTTGAACTTGAGGCCTGGGCACTCCCTGATCTCTTGAGCTCAAGGCCAGCACCACATCCAGTTTTCTCGTGGTTAAGAGTCTCATGGGGGCTGGGAAGGTGGCTCAGAGGTAGAGCGCTTGCCTTGCATGCATGAGGTCCTGGGTTCTTCCTCAGCATCACATAAGCAAAAAGAAAAAAGCTGGAAGTGGTGCTGTGGCTCAAGTGGTAGAGTGCTAGCCTTGAGCTGAAGAGCTGAGGGACAGCATCCAGGCCCAGAGTTCAGGCCCCATCACCGGACTCCAAAAAAAAAAAAAAATCTCACAGACTTTTGTGTTCAGGCTGGCTTCAAACTGTGACTCTAAGATCTTAGCCTCCTGAATAAGTAGAATTTACAGGCATAAGCCACTGGTTCTCTTTTGAGTAACCTTTTCTTTCATTGGTTCTATAAAAATATTAGTGGATGATAGTCTTTTAGAATATTCTACATTTTTTCTTTAGGCTGTTTTTATTGTTATTACTCAGAATCCTGTCTTAAATTTCACATCCCTCCACTAACTGGTATATCTGGTCATTACCATTTTGTAAGTAGTATTCCTCTTACACGCATGTTGTATGTTTGTCCACTATATATGTGTGAAATACGTATTTTTGTATTTATACAAAATACTTATTTTTGTATTTACACTGTTGGTGATGAGATGGACTTTAAGTACTCATCTAGTACTGTATTGTTTTAATTAAAAAAAATTACAGGTGGCTCACACCTGTAATCCTAGCTACTTAGGAGACAGATATGAGGATCGCAATTCAAAGCTACTCCAGGCAGGAAAGTCCGTGAGACTTTTATCTCCAATAAACCACCAGAAAACTTGAAGTGGCACTGTGGCTCAAATGGTAGAGCGCTTGCCTTGAGCTGAAGAGCTCAGGGACAGCACGCAGGCCCAGAGTTCAAGACTCACAACTGACAAAAAAAAAAAAGTGGAAAATAAGGGGCATATATATAGTTCAGCAGATTGATTGCATGTAAAGCTCTGAATTTCTTCTTTAGAGTCAGTTATAAAATTGGAATTTTTAAAGTTTTATACTTTAAAACTTTTTTGAGACACAGTATTAGTATGACCTTAAACTGAAGAGCCTCCTTCCTCAAACTCCCAAGTGTTTTCATTATAGATGTGGACCACATACCTGGTTTACTAATCATTATTTTTAGTAAAATCCAGCACATCTTTTTTTTTTCTTCTTTTCATAGGACATCATGGTGATGTTGGAGCGCCCATAGCAGATGTTATTTTCCCAGGAGCTGCTTACACAGAGAAGTCTGCTACATATGTTAATACTGAGGGCAGAGCTCAGCAGACTAAAGTAGCAGTGACACCACCCGGCTTGGCTAGAGAAGACTGGAAAATCCTAAGAGCTCTCTCTGAGGTATTATTTTTGAGACATTTCTTAGTAGTGTTGCTTAAGGAATATTGGCCATATTAGCTTATTAAAATTCATAACCAAGCTAGTGGTTTACAACTGTAATCCTAGCTACTCAGGAGGCTGAGATCTGAGGATCATGATTTAAAGCCAGCCCAGGCAGGAAAGTCCATGAGACTTTTCTTTCCAGTTAACCATCACAAAACTGGAAGGGGAGCTGTGGCTCAAAGTGGTAGAGCACTAGCCTCAAGGAAAAAGACCTCAAGGATAGCATCCAGGTCCCAAGTTCAAGTACCATGACTAACAAAGAAACTGCTGTGTTGAAAGCCTTTGTTAAACTGCTTAAAGATAATAAAAACATTCCCAAAAATAATAAAATAATCTTCAAACTAAAAAAAAATTATATATTGCCTGAACTGCAAAGAGGATCTGAATAGATTCTACGCTGGCAAAAAAAAAAAAAAAGTCTCATAGATTTTCCTCCCCAGTCTGGCTTTGAATCTTGAGATTCTCAGATCTCAGCCTCCTGAATGACTAGGATTACAGGCATAAGCTACAAGTGTATGGCCTGAAGTAGAATTTTTGACATTTGTGTTTCTCACTTGATGGTTCCTTAAAAATTCAATACCTGCTACCAGGTACCAGTTGACAGTTGATTTTAGATTTATTAGTAATACTAATGCATAAATATAAAAACAATGCACATATGTTTGTATGTATAATATATATAAAACAAGTAAACTATACAAAATGAAAAAATATTTTAATCATTTTTTTCAGTGTGTGTGCTGGTCCTAGGGTTTGAACTTGGCATGAGTGTTGCGCTGAGCTTCTTTTGCTCAAGGCTGGCATTCTACCTCTTGAGCCACATGTCACTTCTGGCTTTTTCTGAGGAGTTTATTGGACATAACAGTCTCATGGACTTCCTTGCCTTTGCTTGCTTCAATACTGTGATCCTCAGATTTCAGCTTCCTAAGCAGAATTACAAGCATGAGCCACCGGCAGCTGGCTAGTTTAAGCATTTTTTGTTTGTTTGTTTATATGTTCGTTGGGGAAGGGGATTGAATACACTGCTGGCTCTGCCCTGGTATTTTTATTTTTATTTTTTTGGCACTAGTCCTAAGGCTGTAGTCCTGGGCACTGTTTCTGAGCTTGTTTGCTCAAGACTTGCACTCTGCCACTTGAGCCACAGCTAGATTTCTGGCGCGTGCGTGCGTGCGTGCGTGTGTGTTTAATGGGAGAATAGAGTCTCATGGACTTTTCTGCCTAGGCTGGCTTTGAAATATAATCCTCAGATCTCAGACTCCTCATTAGCTAAGATTAATAGGCATGAGCCCATCAATGTCAGTATTGGGACATGAAATCAAGCCCTCACTTTTGCTCAGTCTTCTTGCTTGTAGCTGGTGTTCTACCACTTGACCCACACATCTAGTTTAGCTTTTGGAGATGGAGTTGCACAGGCTATTTTGCTTGGGCTGGCTTTAAAATGTGATCATCTAGGCCTCAGCCCCCAAAGGAATTAGGATTGCAGGAATGTACCTCCCAATTCTGCTATAACATTTTTTTTGGGGGGTCAGTCCTGGGGCTTGAACTTAGGGCTTGGGCACTGTTCCTGAGCTTCTTTTGTTCAAAGCTAGCACTCTATCCCTTGAGCCATAGCATCACAGCTGGCTTTTTCTGTTTATGTGGTACTGAGAAATCGAAACCAGGGCTTCATGCATGAAAGGCAAGCACTCTACCACTAAACCACATTCCCATCTCTAACATTTTTTAGTAGTAAAGCTTCGTGTCATTTTTATGGATCTGTTCTGTTGTAGATTGCTGGTATGACTCTTCCTTATGAGACTCTGGATCAAGTGAGGAGCCGATTGGAAGAGGTCTCTCCAAATCTTGTTCGATATGATGATGTTGAAGGAGCTAATTACTTTCAGCAAGCAAATGAGCTCTCCAAGGTAAAAGCTTGTTTATTTGCAGTTTTCATAATGGTATGTTTACCAATGTAATAGTACTTGTTTTCAGTATTACTATGGTTGTTTTGCAGCTAGTGAACCAGCAACTGCTTGCTGATCCCCTGGTTCCACCTCAGCTAACTATAAAAGACTTCTACATGACAGGTAACTATCAACATGACTGCTGAATATGAAATATGAGAAGGAATCGAAGAACTTCATTTTGTATTAAAAATAACTAGCTGGTAGTTAGTATTTACAAGTTGGGCTTTTTTTTTTGGTCTGGTCCTGGGCTTGAACTTAGGGCCTGGGTATTGTTCCTAAGCTTTTTTGCTCAAGATTAGCATTCTGCCACTTGAGCCACAGCTCCACTTCTAGTGTCTTGGTGGTTAATTGAAGACAAGAGTCTCGTGGACTTTTCCTCCCAGGTGGCTTCAAACCTCGATCTTCAGATCTTAGCCTTCTGAGTAGCTAGGGGTACAGGCATGAGCCACTAGCACCCAGCATTTACTACTTTTAATCTGAAGATTTTCAAACATCAGAACTAATACAATCTGATTGGACTGTTTGTTATTTGTTGTTGTTTTCTTTTCCAGTCTGGGGATTGAACCCAGAGCCTTGTACATTCTTGGCATAGGCTCTACCACTTAGCTACATTCCAGCACTATTACTTGTTTCTGGATGTAGCCAAAGTTTGAAAATCCAGAAAGATTTAGTAGATTTTAGATTTTACTACTGTGAATAAAATTAGTTCATGTAGTAGTCAGTCTGGAAGAATTATTGAATGGTAAACAGCAGCAAAGATTTATTTTTTTGAGAATTATAGATAGAAAAATCAAGTATTAGCTGGGTGCCAGCTATTCAGGAGGCTATGATCTGAGGATTTTAGCTCAGAGGCCTACCTACACAGGAAAGTCCATGAGACTTATCTCCAATTAACTACAAGGAAACAGGAAGTGGCACTGTGGCTCAAAGTGGTAGAGTATTAGCCTTGTGCAAAAAAGCTCAAGGACAACAGTACCCAGGCCTTGAATTCGAGTCCCACAACCAATAAGAAAAAAAGTGGTCAAATTTTTAAATGTGGGCTAGTAAGTGCCTCTGATATAAATTGCTAGGAAAAATTTTTTCTACAGATTTCAAGGCTGTTGTTAAAATATTTAAAATAATGATTTAATTTTTAGGGTAGTTTCCTACCTGAGAGCATATAGAAGGGGTGGGCATGGTGGTATATGCCTGCTATTAGGGAGGTAGAGATTAGAAGGACTTTGGGTTTAGACTAGGTAGGAAAAAAAAAAGTTAGAACCTATCTTAAAATAGGCCTGTAGTCCCAGCTACTGGAAGGATAGGCAGAGAGTTAGAGGGTCTCAGACAGAGGCCAGTCTACACAAAAATGACTTTATCTAAAAAAAATAACTGAAGCAAAAAAGGGCTGGGGTATGTGGCTGAAGTGGTATAACACCTGTCTAGCAAGCTTAAGGTCCTGAGTTCAAATGGTAGTCTTGCTAAAAGAAAAAAAATTGAACATAAGACTACATATCATGTTGTTTATTATCCATTTTTCTATGATGGACATCAAATGATGTAGGGTGGCAAATATATATTAAAGCAATTGCTGTACCACTGAGGTATGGCCTCAGCTCCAGGACAAACACACTCTCTCTCTCTCCACATATATATATATATATATATATATATATATATATATATATATATAAAATTTTTGGCAGGCAGAATACTGGTGACTAATTCCTGAATTCTAGCTACACAGGAAGCTGAAAATCTGAGGATCATAGTTCAGAGTCAGCATGAGCAGGAAAGTCCGTGAAACTCACATCTCCAAAATAACTAGCAGTTGCCAGATTAGGGGCATGGCTCAGCTCAGGTGGTACAATGCTAGCTGAGCAAATAAGCTAATAAGCAAGTGCAAGGCCCTGAATTTATACCTCAGTACTGGCTTTAAAAAAAAAAAATCAATGTAGTTTGTGTGTAAGATTGGTTTTAATAATTTTGTTTTCTTTTTGTTGAACCCATAGGGTAGGTTTGTTTTAGAATGTATTCCTTAGCTTAATACAATGAAAAATCATTATGACTCTACTTATACAAAACAACTACAATTTTTAAAAACATTTTTTTCAAAATGCAGTAGTGGCACACACTGGACATTAATGAGAGTGAACTATGCAACTCATGGGTAGAGATGGAAAGGAGAGAATGGGAGAAAATGAGGGAATAGATGACATTATGTGAAAGGAAATGTACTCAATACCTGACGTATGTAAAGGTAACCCTGCTGAATATCACCTCTAAACAACAATAAAGTGTAAATTAGAAAGAAAAAATACATTTTTTTCATTCATCTTTCAGGGATAGGACTTGAATTCTGGGCCTCGCACTTTCACTTAGCTTTTCTGAAATCAAGGCTGGCACTCTGTCATTTGAGCCACACCTCCACTTCTGATATTTTGTTGGTTAATTGGAGATAAGTGTCTCAGGGTTGTCTGCCTAGGATGGCTTTGAAGTTTGATTCTCTCTACTCAGTTTCCTGAATAGCTAGGATTACAGGCATGAGCCTTTTGTATCCAGCCATATTATTTTTTATTTGCCCAAAAAGTAGGACTATTCAGTTAAAGTTAGGATTTTTAAGGTATTTTTATAATGGTATTATGACCTTTTTTATTTTTTGTGGGCAGTTGTGGAGCTTGAATTTAGGCACTGGGTTTTGTTTTTAAGCTCTTTTGTTCAAGGCTAGTATTGCTCTACTACTTGAGCCACAGCTCTACTTTCAGTTTTCTGCTGGTTAATTGGAGATAAGAGTCACTTTCATGTCTGGGCTGACTTTGTTTTGTTTTTGTCAGTCGTGGGGCTTGAACTCTGGGCCTGGGCGCTATCCCTGAGCTCTTCAACTTAAGGCGAGCGCTCTCACTTGAACCACAGCGCCACTTCCGGTTTTCTAGTGGTTTATTGGAGATCAGAGTCTCACAGACTATGCCAGGCTGCTTTGAACGGTGATCCTCACATCTCAGCCTCCTGAGTAGCTAGGATTACAGGTGAGCCACCAGTGCCTGGCTCTATATTTTTTTTTATAAAGTTGTATGTTGTCCATCTGTTCAATGATTGATTATTGCTAGAGGTAGTTACTAAAAGCATTAAGCCAATATGGAAGTTATCTTTAGAATTTGTTGGTTAGATATAATTACAAAGAGTCTTAATAGTCCTTTTTTGAGTAAGTGCAACATTTAAGTTTTACTGTGTGCTTTTTAAAAAGTTAAACATTCTTGGGGCTGGGAAGGTGGCTCAGTGTTAGAGCGCTTGCCTTGCATGCATGAGGCCCTGGGTTTGATTCCTCAGCACCACTTAGTAGAAAAAGCCGGAAGTGGCACTGTGGCTCAAGTGGTAGAGCACTAGCCTTGGGCCCAGAGTTCAGGCCCACAACTGACAAAAAAATTAAAAAAAAAACAACTCTTAATTATTTTTCAGATTCAATTAGCAGAGCCTCACAGACAATGGCCAAGTGTGTCAAAGCTGTCACAGAGGGTGCCCAGGCAGTAGAGGAGCCATCCATATGCTGAAAGATCTATTTGGAACCCAGCTTTGGTACAGATACCGAATGGACAGTTATATTGGAGTATCTCATAAACCTTATCTCTTTCAAAAAAATGACATAATATTTAAGGCTATGCATACCTTGCTTGTTTGAAAATAATATTGCAATTATCAAAGAACTTGTCAGCTTCAAATTTGTATATTGTGTGTAAATGTTTGATAAAACTGATGTGTAGGGGCTGGAGATGTAGGCCAATTCAGTGGTAGAGTATTTGTCTAGCATGCATATGAGGCCCTGGGTTTAATCCCCAGCACTGAAAAAAATCTGTATACATTTACTCTTTCCTGTAAAAGTGGTGATAAGCTTTGTGATAAATACAAAGAAAACCTTAAAATGTGAATCATCTTGTTTATTTTCATATATCATTTAAGCCTGTTGAATGGATGAGACGAAGAAATCTTCCAGGACTGGAGACATACCATAACATGGTAGGGTGAGTGTCTGATAGAAGGCCCCAGCACTGCAGAAAAAGAGATACAGAAGCCTTTCATTAAGGCTCACATTTTTCTAATGCCAAAGAAAAGATAAAAGCATTCTATCTTACTGGGCAAATAGGCCTGGTTCAGTTTGCTCACACCTATAATCAAGCTATTCAGCAAGCTGAGGTCTGAGGATCTCACTTCAGAACCATCCCAGGCAGCAAAGTCTGTAAGACTCTTATCTCTAGTTAAGCACCAATAAAGCAAGAAGTGGAGCTGTGGCTCAAGTGGTAGAATGTAAGCCTTGGACAAAAACACTTAAGGATAGTGCCCAAGCCCTGAGTTCAAGCCCCACAGCACACACAAAGTGGGCACATACCAAAAAAATCATATACATATATACATACATGCCATATGCATATGTATACATGCATGTACCATATACATATATACAGTATGTGTATGTGAATATATGTCATGAACGGTTATAATAACTGGTAATTATTCAGTATTTTCTATGTGATTTGCACTCTAGTTTGACATGCATTTTCTTTTGTCCTTGCAACAACCCTTGAGACAGTATTATTTTATTTATAAATGAAGAAACTAAAGCTCAGTGAGAAGTAGCTTGTCCAAGGCCACACAACAAAAAAAGTTACCAGCAAGATTTTGCTCTTGTTTTACTCCAGAGTCCATTGTTCTTCCCTGCTGTACATAGTTCCCTTTCATTAACACAGATTCTAGAGATTGTTATTTCTAAGGATTGTTAAGGAGCTTAATGGTAACACATTTTTTTATTCTCTCTTGATTCTTTTTCTGTAATTTCACCATTTATGTAGCATTTTTCTTTGTATAACAGAACACATACATTGGGGCTGGGAAGGTGGCTCAGTGGTAGAGCGCTTGCCTTGCATGCATGAGGCCCTAGGTTCGATTCCTCAGCACCATACAAGCAAAAAGAAAAAAGCCGAAAGTGGCGCTGTGGCTCAAGTGGTAGAGTGCTAGCCTTGAGCTGAAGAGCTGAGGGACAGCACCCAGGCCCAGAGTTCAGGCCCCACAACTGGACCCCCCCAAAAAAAAAACAGAACACATACACATCCTTAGAAGGAGGGAATTCTAAAGAAACATAATTTGTATCATTATTTGCTTTATGGTATGCAGGATCAAACCCAGGGCCTTCAGTATGCCAGGCAAGAGTGCTGACTTTCAGTGTTCTGTATTAACGCCATATGCAGTATAGGGTCAACTAGATTATTTTAGATAGGTGGAGGACCTTTTTTTCTGCCAAGGATGATTTGGATATATATACCATCATTTATAGGCTATATAAAATTATCAACTTAAAAATAATGTTTCTTGGGCTTTTGCTTAGTGGTACAGTGCTTGCGTACATGCAAGAACCCCTGGGTTCGATTCCTCAGTACCACATTAACAGAAAAACCTGGAAGTGGCACTGTGCTCAAGTGGTAGAGTGCTAGCCTTCAGCAAAAGAAGCTCAGGGACAGTGCCCAGGCCCTGAGTTCAAGCCCCAGGACTGGCAAAAATAATAATGTTTCTTGAATTTCAAGTACTGACTGTGGTTGCCTTGGAAAGGCCAGACCAAATGTCTGAGGTTCTTAAATAGCCCCAAAAGCAGGACATTTCTCCTGCTTTGAAGACGAAACTAGGAGCTTTTTTCTTTTTTTGGGGGGGTGGGGGGTCCAGTCATGGGGCCTGAACTCTGGGCCTGGGCACTGTTCCTCAGCTCTTCAGCTCAAGGCTAGCACTCTACCACTTGAGCCATAGCACCACTTCCGGCTTTTTTCTGTTTGCTTATGTGATGCTGAGGAATCAAACCCAGGGCAAAGGCAAGTTCTCTACCACTGAGCCACCTTCCCAGCCCTGAAACTAGGAGCTTTTATACTTTCCATTTGTCAAAACAAAAAGGAAGTGAAGGGCTGGGAAGGTGGCTCAGGGTTTCATTTCTCTGTACCACATACATAGAGAAAGCTGGAAGTGGCACTGTGGCTCAAGTAGTAGAGTGCTAGCCTTAAGCAAAAGCAGCTGAGGGATAGCGCCTAGGTTCTGAGTTCCAGCCCCAGGACTGCCAGGAAAAAATAAATAAAATTTTACTATTAGTAATGGAGATAATCTAAAGGTAGATTTTCTTTTTTTTTTTTAATATATGTTCACTGTTGTTTTGCTCTATTTTTACCCCTTTTGGCAGTATTATAGTTTGAATTCAGGGTTTCATATTTGCTAGACAAGTAGGTACTACTTGAGCTATGGTTATTTTGCTCTGGTTACTTTGAAGTAGTATTGCCCAGGCCAACTTAGACTGTGATCCTCCTTTTTAGGGGGCATTGGGGTCACTCACAGGGCTTGAGTTCAGGGCCTGGGCGCTGTCCCTGAGCTCTTTTGCTCAAAGCTAGCCCTGTACCACTTTGAACCACAGCTCCACTTCGGGTTTTTTGGTGATTAATGCAGATAAGAAAGAATCTCATGGACCTTCCTGCCTAGGCTGGATTTGAACTGTGATCCTCGGGTCTTAGCCTCCTGAGTATCTAGGTTACAGGAGTGAGCCATCAGCGTCTAGCTATTTTGATATAATTACAGAGCTAGAGACTAGTGTCTAGAGTGAGATTGTTGATGTTGTTAAGAGCCCTTTACTTGTTACGTTGCCCTGGCTGATTTTGAACTTCTGGGCTAAGGTCTAAGGTGACCCCTCTGCCTCAGCCTCTTGAGTAGCTAGGAATACAGGAGAATGCGTTTGGTCTTAGGGCAAGAGTGGCACGAGTATATTAGTGTCATACCTCTTGATAACCAATTTTAAACCTTATTATTGTTGTGTGTGTGTGCCAGTCTGTGAGCTTGAACTCAGAACCTGGGCACTGTCCCTGAGCTTTTGTGCTCAAGTGCTTTTTCACTTTGAGCCACAACTCCATTTATGGATTTTTTTTTTTTTTTTTGCTAGTTCTGGGGCTTAAACTCAGGGACTGGGCACTGTCCCTGAGCTTCTTTTGCTCAAGACCAGCACACTACCACTTGAGCAACAGTCTTATTTCAGGCTTTTTCTGTTTATGTGGTACCAGGGCTTCATGCATGCTAGGTAAGCACTGTACCACTAAGCCGCATTCCCAGCCCCCATTTACACTTTTTGGTAGTTGATAAGAATCTCCTGGGTTTTCCTGCCCAGGCTGGCTTGGATCGAGATCCTCAGATCTCAGCTTCCTGATTAGCTAGGATTATAAGGATGAGCCAATGGTGCTAACTTATTTTTATTTTCTGATGGTGTGGGAGATTAATCCAAGGCCTTACAAATGCTAGGCAAGTACTCTACTACCAAGCTACAATCCCAGCACTTTTTTTTTTCCCCCAGTGCTTGATTTTTGAGACAAGGTTCTACCATATAACTCAGGCCAGCCTTGAATTTATAATCCTCTAGTCTTGCTTCATAGTGCTAGAATTATAGGAATGCAACCATGCTTGCCTACAATCATTTATTACTGATTGTTCATTGTTGGAAAACCGTTTCTTCAGCATTGTACTACTTCTAACATAGAGTTGTTAATGAAAATTAAATTAGAAAGCTTATAAAAACATTAACCTGCCTGGTGCTGCTGGCTCATGCCTGTAATCCTAGCTATGGGGGTGATGGGTGGGGGGAAGAGGGCACTGAGGATGCATAGGGACAATGCCCAGACCTTAAGTTCAAGCTCCAGGTACCAAAAACAAAATTAACAGACAAACAAACCTTAACCTAGTTCCTGACTGACAGCAAATATAATGGTGTACTTAATAATTGAGTGCTATCATTATTTGAAAATGCATATTCAAAATGCTGCTGACAATTTTAGGAGTTCATAGTGAAAGCCCTTGTGTGTATACTATTGATCCTAAAACTTAAAACGAAGTGAAAAACTCGATTGTGAGGGAAAGTCCCTTGTATAACCTCCAGTTTATGTTTTCCTAAAGAAATGCATTCCTTTTAGACTCAGAAAAAATGAGTTGTCCGAGGTTAACCTAGTGCTACTACAGACCATGAGACTAATGAAAATAAATTTATTATGTAGAACTCTCTTTATTTTGATGGAATTTTTGCCAGTTGCAGTAAGATTTACTGAGTTGCTTCTAAGAGCAAAAGTAACATCCTCAAACAGTGGCTGGGTGCTGGTATGTACACCTGCAATCCTGGTTACTCAGGAGGCTAAGATCTGAGGATCATGGTTCAGATCCAGCCCAGGCAGGAAAGTCTGTGAGACTCATCTTAATCTCCAATTAACCACCAGAAAACTGCAAGTGGCACTGTGGCTCAAAATGGTAGAGACTAGCCTTGAGTAGGAAAGCACAGGGACAGCGCCCCACCTGAGTTGCAAGCCCCACAATGACCCCCAAAAAAAAGTGGTAGCCAGGTGACTCATGCATGTAATCCAGGTTAAAAGTCAGCCTGGGTAGGAAAGTCCAAAAAACAAAAACAAAAAAACACTAGGATAATGTAAACTGTCAGCTAACTGGATAGAATTACCCAACTGTTATTCAAGCTCCCCAGGGAAATGTAGCAGGTTTAGCAGCCACAGCAGTGGTAATATGTTTTTTGTTTGTTTGTTTTTTTAAAATACTAACATTGAGCCATGCATGATGGCACATGCCTGTAGGCCTATGACTCAGGAGGCAGAGGCAGGTTTGAGGCCTGCCTGGAAAACTAGGGAGACCCTGCCTCAATAAAGCAAAGAAAAATAAGAGGATGCAAAATTATGTGCATGCTACAGTGGTAGTCAGCCTGTGAGATGACCCTAGCTAACCTTGCCTGCTGGGATCCATGTTGTGTTTGTAATCCCCTCCCCTTGAGTGAATGGGACTTAATCACTGCTACTGAACATGTATCATTGCAGATGTTAGGTTTTGAAAGGACTGTTGTTTCCCCCTCTGGTTTACTCAACTC